TATCTATCTATAATATATGTGCGTGTATTACATTTGTAAGATATGTATATATGATTTCCCAGCTTTGAAGCAGTTGCTGTCTAAGTAGTTTTCCTAAATTGCCAGGACTGGAGCAGGCAAGTCTGTCAGAACTCAGTCTAAAGAGTCAGGGTTTTTTTAGAGGAAAATCTCTCTCTCTTTTTTTAAGTATTGAAGTGTATCTTGTTGTGTCATCAAAATGTAAATTATTTAGGATTAAGGTACATAGATGACAATATTTAAAAATAGAGAACAGAATCTGATGAAAAATAAGTAATGTCTTCAATTAGTTAAACAGGAGTTCTTCACCGATATGTGGTGTGTACCCTCGGGATGCGTGCTTTGGGCCCATTCCTAACCTTTTCGGTTAAAACCTTCAATGCTTTAAAAAGTGACATGTTTGCTGGTTAAATTTAGCTGTACTGCTCCTTTGAAATGTATAACTTATAAAACATAAACAGCTTAGCCATTGTTTATCCGAAATCAAAAGTTACCAACCGTTACCATTACTACCAATGATAAAATCCCTGTTATCTGACAATATGGTGTCAAACATTTCAGTGTTTACAATGACAACACTCTTTCTATTGGGAAACTTTACAAACGTCTTTTTAAAAACTTTTTTCTTTCACCTAAGGAAAAACAAAAACAGAACTACAAATAAGTGTCAATGCTATTATTTCATCTAATTTAGTTTACTGCAACTTTATTTTATTATGTTTAAAGCTAGATCTTACAACATTACCCTGGCCTCCTGTTCATTTTAAATTTCAGTTAAAGATTTAGGCTTTAACCATGGGGCAATCCATGGCCAGGCCCTTAAATGCATTGTGGACTTATTTGAAGTCCAGTCTTTTTCCTGTGTTCTTAGCTAATCTAACCAGTTGTTACTGGTGGTTTCCTGCACAGATTTTAAGACATGTTATGATTATTTTTATTATTCATGTATTTTTTTGTTAAACTCTAATATTACCTGCCTGTTACATGTTAAGGCTCATGTTTTCCCAAGCAGATTATCTTATAAGGGCTGTTCTGTAAGTATATAATTGAATGAAATGAGAGCATAGAGAAAGAGTGGATTATTCTTGACAGATAGCTCTGTCACTGTGTATTTGAGCTGTCCTTGATCTAAGAACACTGTAATATCTTGACATGTCTGGAGCCAGTAACCACCGAGCAAAAATTGGTTGACAATACAGTAAAAAGACAACATGATTTACATCCAAGCAACATCTATATTTGGTTGAAAAGAAAAAAGGTGAAAATCTCTAATTTTCAGATCGTTGAAAAGATTTTGAAAACTCAGTTTTCAACGTCTTTTAGATAATCTGAAAATGTCTATTATCCATCCGACCAAATACAGCCCAATTTTAAAAAGTATGTAAGTCAGTAAAGTATGTCTGGACTAAATCCAGACTATGAGAGACAGACCAGATTTAGCTTAAAAACCAATTTCTAAATGACGTTTGGTGTTTGTGGCGATGCAGTCTTCTCATGTACAAACATGTGAATGATTTAATAATGGTAGACTTGATAATGTGGCAGGGTGTGACATTGGAAATGTATAAAATTCTTCTTTTTAGAATAACTGGTATTCTGGGCCTACTTGTTGAACAAGCCCGGTGGTAAGCGCTGCCATCTGTAATCCAAGCCATTTCCTCGTCTGAGCACAAATATAATTTCTGTCAAAATCTGTTATCATGTCTCATATTAATTTAATACATAAACCTTATAAAGTGTTATTTAAAGTTTTTGTTTCGAGTGATCTCGTCTCATGAAAGAATTGGGGACATAAAGCTTAAAGGTAGATCTTTCCTTTACAGACATGTGGAAATTGATTTTTGGATCCTAACCCTGTATCCCAAGAGGCGGAGGATCTGAGGATGTGGAACTCCTTTCCTCTGTGTTCCACAGAATCCACTAACTCTTCTAAAAGAAACTCAAGAAATGCTTATTTACACATGATTTCAATTAATTTGCACTTTTTTGTAATTTATTTTACTTGGGACTTTGGGATTTTTATCATTGAAAGATGCAACATCAATAAACATTTTATTTCTTGTCTGCTTGTGTTTTTTCCAAACTTCCTCACTTCTTGTTGAATATATTTCCAGTTGTGAACTTCTTTCTCCGGTATTGTGGTATTATGTTAGAACTAAAACAAAAAAGGCAGATTAAAATCACTGTGCCTAAACACAATGGATAGTTATGCATCACACATGTATGCTTCCTTGATGCCAAATTGTGATTCTCTAAAGATGACATTAATCCTGTGATGCTCTAATTTAGTAATCTCAGTGTACATTTACTGTATATATACTTTTCATCCTTTCAAATTGTGTCCTTGCCACAGCCTGTGTTGCTGCTGCCTTTTCTCACTTTATTCAGCCATGCTCCACAGGGATGCCTGCTGAATGCTGAAGCAGCTTAGGATGACAGCAGTGGCAGGGTAAAGAGGAGGATGAGTTCTGAATGTGAACAGACATGCTTGTGCTTTAGAATGACAGCAATAGGTTTGAAAATGTTCTATTTTTCTTTCTGTTTTATAAATATTGACATTCCCTCGGCATGCATGCATCTTCAGTTTTATCAAGTGAGACACCGTTTACAGATTTGCAAAAATGACAGAAAGAGATATCTTAAAAGGGTTAACACGATGAAAGGTGACATCAGTATATGGATCAGTAAAAACTTGCTTTTATGTGTGTCTGCATGACATATGGTATTTTCTCTTTCTTTGCCTTTGTCTTACTTTAGATTATGTATGCCGTCAGGTGTAGCTGGGACATTGTATCTTCTCATATACTCATGCATCTCAGGGAAACTCTTCTTGACGTAGTCTTCTGCACTGCTTTCTCTTACTGTAGCAAAGCGGAATCCCTGAGAGGGATGGTGCAACTGCAGAGGTGAAGAGAGAAATGAAGATTTCACCTTTTCAATACCTTTGAAAGCATTAATAGTTTTTTCAGTTGCAGTCTACTGTTTCTTGTTAGTTTTGGCCTTCACGGTATTCTGATTTACACTTCTGTTTTCCCTTTGGTGAAATTAATGCAATATAAATGTAAGTGGAAAACTAATCACATAGAATGTGTTTTTACCTTTGGATCGTGTATCCCTGACAGTTGCTCGTAGGTTTTCTCCCCGACCATGACAGCCGCCAAGTTAGCAGTGTAGGTGGACAGACAGAAAAGACAGAAGATCGCCCAAAGGTTCATCAGTAGACGACCAGTCCAGCACTTTGGGGGCTTGATGGCTACTGTTCTTCCAAAGAGAATAGCATAGCAGACATTTAGGGCTGAGGAGAAAGAGAAGACGCGGTTGCGATTGCGTCCTCGAGGCGTCATCCCAAAGGGACTGTGCCATTCGTACAGGGTGAGGAAGACAGCAGTGACGTGGAGTGAAACAAAGATGCCTAGCCACATGGACCAATGGAGGGGCCACATGAAGGCACCGATGGGGGCTGCTGTGTCACGGGTACGAACCTAGGCAGGACAAGAAAGAGACAGAAGAAACATTAGAGCTGATTAACCTGAAACATAAAATTATATTATATACTTTTAGATTTATTTTAACTTTGTTTTGTTTGTTTTTTAAACATCCTAGCATTATTTTTTTTTAAATATATTACGTTTTAGACCTGTTAGACAGAAGTCTAAAACTTTAAGGAATTTTTTTTTCTTTTTTTTTTTTTGTAGAGTAGACATTTTTGTTTTGTTTGTGCTTAACAATTAGATACAGTAGACCAAAAGTAGACACAATCTAATTCTAACATGTCAGAGCCATTCATTATGTAGTAATGTAGTAAAGTAAAAGTAAGGTAATGTAAAGTGTAGTAATTCAAGTGTCAGTGAATTGTCAGATTAGTTACCCCAAAATAAACTATCATGCACTGATATCTGTTTTCATGAAATTAACTTCCTCTTTTCGGAAGATTTGCTTTTTTATGCTTCATAATTTTGGGATGCGATCTCAGGTTAATTTTGCCGATTTTTTCATTCTTTCAATATGATGGATTTAGACACATTTTCATGTGGAAATTAAAGGATTATATTGAGATAACACCACTGTGCGGATGTTACAACTTTACAATTCAAAACATCTTGGTCCTAACACTACAGTATTATTGGATATATTATGGGATATTCAGCATGTCTTTATTTCGTTGGGGCAATCATGAAATAGCCCTTCACTTCATTCTATGTCAACAACATGTACATTAGTTTACACAGGGGAAAAAAAATAAAACATTTAAACAAGCGTGCTTTACATCAACAAAAGTACAAAGCAATCATTTTGAAAGAATGCTTTAAAAATTATAATTGTTAAAATTTTAGAGAAAAATAAATCAGTAAATTGTAGTATTCCAGTCGACTGTCAGTCAAACTAAAGCCGCATTTTAAGATTCGCAGTTACATCGTAGGTAAGAAAGAAGAGTGATCACCACAATCATTAAGTCCTCTCTGTTGTTGGGAGAAGCTAAAGTAATTGAAGTAATAGGAACCTCACAAAGCGGAGCACTCACCAGTCCAACCCCGTATAAGGAATTATATTAGGCTTCAATACATGCTGTAATAAAGCACTGTCATATCGACAGTGACCACCAGAATGCCAAGCAGAAAGAATTTAGGGGAGGCAATGACACACAGTGAAAAACGATGGACCACAAAGTGACTGAAATGAAGAGTAAGGACTATAATCCAACAAGCAATCAAAAAGAAATCAGAGTGAGAGAGGTAGTACTGACCAGAATCCCCAGGCTGGTGGAGAAAAAGGGTGATGTAAAGTCAATGACTTGACTTCTGGCTGAATTAATGCTGAATGATGTCACTGCCAGGTGGGCAGCACCACTTAGTAAATCGCCCACCAATCCTGTCCAACGACCATTCTTGTATCCTCCATATTTCCCATCGCCAACAATATACAGGTCAAATGTGAAGCCAATATCCTCTGCCAGCTTTTCTAGCAGGTCAATGCAGTATCCATAGCAACATTTCTTCAGTTCTGTAGGAACAGATCCATTGTGCCCTGAAAGTTTCTGAAAGAGCCCTTGCAAAACAGATGATTCATTGGTAAGTGGGTCCAAACACAGCTGGCCTGCTGGACACAGTCCATCACCATCAACCTCACGGGTAAAAACGAAAGGGTGCTCCACTAAAGTCACCACTCGCATGTGCAATCGAGCAGAACGACGCCAATCTCCCCCACCACCAGACCCTTGGTGACTTGGCCAGGCGCGTTGGTCCATCAGAACTCTCCCTCGACGCCAACGTCCGAGACGAGTCCATGTTGGCTGGCCAAGAGGGTCCAGCTGGAGAGACCAGATGTAGTGATGGGCCTCTGAGATGATATTCTGACTATGGCTTTCTTTGGATATAAAACCACTCTGGCCCTCAAATGATGTGTTGGCAAGGAATCTGAAGAAAATAAAGGAGAAAAGGGAAACAATTATAAGAGATGAAAATAAGGAAACATCTTAGGACACCTAAAATGTTGTTTTTCTTCTATAATTTTAAACAAATATATCTAATGAAATTCAAACAGATCCCTTTAAGGTGCATTTTTGACTTCATTCTGAACCCTTTGTCATTTGTCAAAAGAAAAAAGAACATTAAATGAGAGCAATAAACAAAACAGCATGCATGCATGCAAAAAAATCCATGCATTTGCTATATCACAATTTTTAATTTTAATATCGTATTTGACCATTTTAACTTTGTATTTCTAAATGTCTCTTTGCTCTCTATATGTCTACGTATTAGAGTGTTTTAACTAATAGAACTTCTTATTTTTCAAAGATCCTAACATCTTTACCTACTTTATAGAAAGGCAACACATAATACACAATAATTTTCTGTGTATTCCTAAAGCCGAATATCTTACAGAATAATAAATGAGGGCAGAATAAATTGTAAACTGTGAAGCCCAAGCTTAATTGTTTTGGGTGTATGTTTTTTTGGTAAACAAAAATCTGAAAAGTATTGCGCTTTTTAATAGGACAGACTATTAGGGCCAGACTACGAAAAAAAATAAATAAATAAATAATTATTAGAATGCATAAGATTGCAAGTTTATGTTTTTATATTACTAGAATTTGATTAAGATTAAAGAAGTAAAATGATGACTTTACTCTTGCTATATTATGAGAATAAAGTCATGATAGAATAAAGTCGTCAGGTTAGTCCATTCAGAATAAAAATCTTTGAACAATATCTGAGCAGCACAGCCAAACTACCAAACAGCAATCTGAGGTGTGTTTCTTCACATAATAAAAATTTGATGCTGATGGGCTAAAAGTTTTATTTCTTCATTTTTTTTAACCGATACGAAGGCATAACTTAACAAGATTCTAAACAGTCCTCATTTCAATGCAGTGCATGAGTTTTCATTAAATTATATTTACTTTATTCTCGTAAATTATGATTTTTATCTGCCAATATTATGATGTTATTTTGGTAATATTTTGAGTTTACCTCACACTGTGATATCTTTAAACGTGCACTACTATGGCTTTGATCTCATTAGATTATGACTCTATTCTCATAATATTATGACTTTGTAAGGTTGTATTTTTATTCTCATAATATAATGACTTATGTCTTGTAATTCTACTAGTTTATTTTCATAATATTACAGCAAGTCAAAAACAGAATTCTCTTTAGTCCTATCCTAGTTCTCTGTCATACTTTCACAAAACCTGTGTTTGCCTGAAAAATAACAGACTAAGCAATTATTTTCAGATATCCCTCATATTTTAAGCAACCTCAGTACAGCTGTTTCCTTTGACAGCATTAGTCAGCAAACAGCATCATAAAGATCTTAAAAGATGCTAGACCGGTTGCAGACAAAACAATGTGCCTATGGCAATTAGCTAATGCACTAATTTACAAAAGGGCTCCATAATAACTGGCTTCACTTGTGGAACAAGAAAACTTTCCATCCACTTTCCTTTCCATTGTTCTACAGCCAGGACAATAAAGTAAAACCATGTTTTTAACAGGCTTTTTAATCAACAGATTTTTATAATTAAATGTCCACTTATAAGCCATTTTACAAAAAGAAGCACATCTGGCAATATACCACGACATGATTGTCTCACCTGACCTAAAAGGATTGATCTCAAATTGGAGAAATTTACCTCTGCATTTACCTCACCCCATTGGGGAGAAGTGGGCTGCCATCGTTGGGCACCCAGGGATCAGTGTGCGGTTAAAGGTCTTGTTCAGAGACCCAGAGTGGCAGCCTTTGTGAGTGGAAAACAAACTCAGAAAATCACGATTCCACACTCTATGCCCTAACCACTAGGCCACCACTCCCCAAGATATTAGTAACTCTGTGAGAGCTACAGAGATCCATAGCTCATATAGGACAACCTGTTGATGAATATCATGCCATCTGTAAAGCCAACAAGAAAGCCTTAGCAACACACATTTAAAGTTTGTCAGCAAACATCTTTAAACATGCTGCTAAATCAACTAAAGGATGGTTTAAGCTAAAGCACATTTATGTGTTTAAAGGTTCCCAGTGGCTTATTTGATTTATAACCCTGCACAGACAATCTATATAAGCAATCTGCCTGAGTTAGAGCAATGCTACATGTAACAAGAATAATGGGCATAAATTTGTGCAAAGTTAGGATATGTTTTTCATACCTCAAATACATGTAGCAATATATTTTATCATAGTGATTAATGCATTCTTTACTTTTCAGATCTCCATTACTTTACAAAATGTGAAAACATTTATAATTTTTTTAGCTACTTAAAACTTTCTTAGATCTCTTAGAGATGTGAAAATAAACGTATTTCCTTAGAGGTTCTGTGAAAAGCAAAAAGCTCTGAATGTATTTAGTGGAACACATTCAGAGAAATAAAAAGGTGATATAAAGATATGTGTTCAACTGATAAGTGCCTTTATCAGGGTTATTATCCAAACACCTTTTGATATTGGTGTGGGATTTGCTCACTAAGTTAATGTTTGTTTTCTACTTTTTATCCAAATATTATTTTAACCATTTAAAATCAGTACCAGAAACTGAACGTTTGTGGCCTAAGTAGCTCAGGAGAATGGTTAAAGTTTTTTTTTTTTGTGTGTGTGAGTTTGTGAGCAGGACTGTATAAGACAAATAACGGTTCAGTGGGCAAACCATCTTTTTACCTGAGCAATGCTGGCTGTCTGAGAGTGTCAGATACCAGAGCAGATGCAAACTAAAGAGAGCAAAAGGCCCAGCCCTGCTCACTGAGTTGTATAAGATTGAGATTGACTGTAAGAAACAAAAAAAAAAAAGGAAAACAATCTGGGATGTAGTCTGAGAAGGCTGATGGTCACCTCTCTGACATGCCCTGAGGAGGTAATGATGTAGCTGATGTGACCTACTCCAAAATATCTCCTTTCTTTCACCTTGCTCACTGAAAAAATCCCTTTCTAAGCAACATGTTGAGTTTTATACTTTGTTAACAGATGCTAAGGAAACCTGACAACTCCCCTGCTCTGCCTTAAGGACACTTTCTTTGGCCTGTAGATGTGTGGAGAGTCACTTCTATAACTGCACACACTTGAAGTAAGACACCTTTTACACTTCTTGAGGTGAATTGAAATGTTTTCTAAAAAGTCCCACTCTGCTCCAGTTAATGTGTTTTTACTGAAGACATCTGCAACACTTCACAGCATTGAAATGCTGAAACCTGAAGCCCACTATAGCAACAGTGCCAGGGTGTTTCAGCAGACTGGAGGCTTCTTGTATGCATGAAGAAAGAAAAGGCAAAAATGGAGCGTAACAAAACTCATAGATTAACGCAGACGTCAAAGGCATACAGAGCAGCTGGCCCTGATTCTGGCCGCCCTCACTCAATTATGAATCATCCAATTTTTTTTTTACTGAGAACACATGCAGTGTTTAAGCCTGAATAAATTTTTTTTTGGTTTCACAAGTAAAAAACAAAAAATGCTCTAGTCTGTTATTATAGCTACTGAGAGCAGAAGTGGAGAAATATTAATTTTTTTTGCTTTTTGTTAAACAAAAAAGCCTACTATATAATATGCACTATTACAGCTCTACCCAACGATTTTATTACAAAGCTTTATTTTGTCAATTCTACATGTAAAACACATATCACACAGCAAGTGTACACAAATATCCCTATAAATAAACAAGCAACTTGCATCATCCCCTTTTAACTTATTATGTATAATTGAACAGAAAAATAGAAAAGATGAAAAAGTTCTTGAAAATGATCTACGTGTAGGGGTGAAGGTTCCCACGCTAACTGCTAGGTTGCCAGTTTGAACCTCCACTGCCTATTGTTGTGTCCTTGGGCAAGACTCTTTACCTGCATGTTATTTCCTCTGTTTTTTATGCTCTGCTAATCTGAAATAAACTTCAAGAAAATTGTAAAAGCTCTGAAACCCTCAGTAGTTTTCAATCACGATTAAAAAACACATTTGTTTAGAGCGACCTTGATGTCTGAACACTATTACCTAAATTTCCATTCCAACTTTCATTCACTATTTTATATAGTTTTGTATTTTTTTATTAACTATTTTAAATGTCTTTAATATATAATAATCTAATTTAAATAATTCACTTGTATTATCTGTAATTACTGTATGCTGCCTCTATGCAACTGCAATGCATTTCTCTTTTTCTTTTTCTCATGTACAACCCTTTAAATTCCCTTGCCACTGATATATACTATATCAATAAACTTTCCTCTCCTTGCCTTTTTTTTGTGTCACTTTTACAAAAAAAATAAATACAAATGAATTTTTATATTTTCCAATTTCTGCTTCTTTTGAGCAGATATTTTAGATATTTCTGAAAGAGTTGAACGATGCTCTCAAACCTAAGAACACCACTCTAGTCATCAGAAGATGAATGAGGTGGTATCATACAGATGGTCTGTTTTACTTGGACCAGCTTGCAACAACCAAAAGCTTGAATATTACAACTTTTAAAGAGTTTATTGTCTTATGTATTAAATTTGTATTATCAGGGACACACCAGAGCTGGATTTCAGAATGGAAAAACATGGATAGCCTCAAACATTGGAATAGCTCTTTCCTCGTTTCTCCAGAACCTCTACAGCCGAAAACCTAATCACATTTAAATGAGCTCTGGCATTTTGAATAATAAATATTCAGCAATAATTATCACAGGATATCATTGATGGCTACAAAAAAGGTGCATAAACTAAGACTTTTCAAACTATAGTTGCTCATGATCAAAATTAATACATGTAACCTCCATGCTTCAACATTTAAAAACCTCAGACCAGCACCTCACACTATGTAAAACAATAAATAAACAAGTTATAAAGATTTTCACACTCATAAAAGTTTGCATTTTAAAGAAATAAAACAAAGAAAATTCAAACTTCAAGTGAGATCAAGTACTTCTGTAAAAGTAGGACTTTTTTCTTCAGATTTTAAGCTGTTACATCAAGTTCTTTTAATATGGCAATCTTTCTCTTTTGCTTAGCACATTAAAATGCAAATGTAGGCCAAGGTCCAGATACGACCTTGACAGGGTCAAGATTCAGAATGTAGTCTGCCAATTATTATGGTGGACCAGTTCTTCCACATTTAAGAAAAATGAAAATATAAATAAATGCTCCATTATTAAATAAGCTTGTTTAAAAGATTTTAAACTGTATAATCTAATTAATGCATATATGTTTATATTTTTTTGTGTTCATTTATTCATTATTTGAATTATCTATCAACTTTTTAAATCACTTGGGATAGTTTCTGTTCTTTATTGCTATTTTTAAATGTCCTTTGTTTTTTAATATGAAGAGAGGTTAAAAACAGTGCGTCATTCACAAACTCCTCCCTTTTTTCCTGTTTTTGACTACAAACAGCCTGAGAATTTTTTTTGTTTGTTTCCTCCCACTCAGATCTACAAGCGTAGTGATGGGTGTAACCAGTGAGATTCAAAGCAGCAGCATATTTTTAGATCAGAATTTAAACTGATCCTTGTTTCAAGGAAGTAAAAACTTTTAGTCATTGTTCCTGAGAGGGGAAAATGGCGCAGAAAGGATTTCAGCTTGACGAAGACAAATATTCCTGTTCAATCTGTTTGGATCTGCTGAAGGATCCAGTGACTATTCCCTGTGGACACAGCTACTGTATGATCTGTATCAAAACCCACTGGGATGAAGAGGAGCGCAAGAAAATGTACAGCTGCCCTCAGTGCAGAGAGAGCTTTAAAAAGAGACCTGTCTTGAAGAAAAGCACAATCTTAGCAGCTTTAGTGGAGGATCTAAAGAAGACAGGACTCCAAACTGATCTGGCTGATCATCACTTCGCTGGACCAGGAGATGTGCCTTGTGATGTTTGCACCGGGATCAAGCTGAAAGCTGTTAAGTTTTGTTTATCTTGTCCAGCTTCCTACTGTGAGAATCATCTGCAACCTCACTACGATGCTCCACCATTACAGAAGCATAAGTTAGTGGACCCCTCTATGAAGCTTGAGGACAGCATCTGCTCTCATGATCAGGACTGTATGTGTTGTCTCTGCATATCCGATGAACATAAAGGCCATAAAAACAATCCATCTGTGGCAGAAATTACTGTTAAGCAGAAGAAACTCCAGGTGAGTCTACAGCAAATCCAGCAGAGAATCCACGAGAGGGAGAAAGATATGAAGCTGCTTCATCAGGAGGTGGAAGCCATTAACTTTTCTGCTGATAAAGCAGTGGAGGACAGTGAGAAGATCTTCACTGAGTTGATCAATCTCACCTGGAAAAGAAGCTGTGACGTGCAGCAGCAGATCAGATTCCAACAGCAAACGGAAGTGAGGCGGGTCAAAGAGCTTGAGGAGAAGCTGGAGCAGGAGATTGCCGAGCTAAAGAGGAAAGATGCTGAGCTCAAGCAGCTTTCAAGCACAGATGACAACTGGTTTCTCCACAATTACCCATCACCCTCAGTGTTTAGTGAATCCAGACACTCATCCATCAATGTCCGTCCTTTGAGATACTTTAAGGATGTGACAGCAGCCGTGTCAGAGCTCAGAGATAAACTACAGAACATCCTGAGAGACACATGGACAAACATCTCCCAGGTAGTCACTGAAGTTGATGTTTTACTTTCGGATCCAGAACCAAAGACCAGAGCTGAATTCTTAAAATATGCACAAGAAATCACCCTGGATCTACACACTGCAAACAGACATTTGATTTTATCTGAGGGAAACAGAAAAGCAACAGTAATGAAGCAAGAACAGTCTTATTCATATCATCCAGACCGTTTCTCTGCCTGGGTCCAGGTCCTGAGCAGAGAGAGCCTGACTGGACGTTGTTACTGGGAGGTGGAGTGGAGGGGGAAACGAATTGACATAGCAGCCGCATACAAACAAATTGGCAGACTAGGGAACTTAGATGACTGTGAGTTTCGTTCCAACAATAAATCTTGGTCTTTGTATTGTGACAGAAATGGTTACATGTTTTGGCACAACAAAATCAAAACTCCAGTTTCAGGTCCTGTTTCTTCCAGAGTAGGAGTGTACCTCGATCATAGAGCAGGTACTCTCTCTTTCTACAGTGTCTCTAAAACAATGACTCTTCTCCACAGAGTCCAGAACACATTCACTAATCCGCTGCATGCTGGAGTTGGATTCTATAAGGACGCAAACTTTGCTATGCTGATGAAACTCAAATAGTCAAAACCGATTTGAGCTCATAGTTCTGTTACTTCTTTACTGTGCTGAGATTACTTTCTTTTTTTTTATAAGACCCAGTCTTTATTTCTGTTGTTTTGTTGATATTGGAGGTTGTTCAGGTGTTGCCATCTACTCTTTCTGCCCAAACACGGAGGTCATTATTGCTAAGGAGGATTTATATTTCCAAACGACATCCGGGGTTTAACTTTTACACATTGTGGAATGATTTAAGTCTAGCCAATAAAATGGTAAAAAAAAATGATGACATTTAAAGCACAGGAGTCCTGGTGGTATTCTAAGTTGAAGTATGATGCCTGGCTGAATCATATCCTTTTACATAGCAACCATAAATCAATGTCATGCCCCACATATTCTTGTGTCATTTGTCACCTAAAAATATTCTGATTCATGTTTAACTTGCCTTTACATGCCAGAAATGTGCTAAACGTTGTACATAACTGTTTACCTCTTACTTCAGATATATGGGAGGTAGGTGTATATGTGTGCGTGTGTGTCGTGGGGAGGGGGGGGTCTGTTTTTACCTAAGTTGGATCAAGAACATATGTCTCTAAGGAGACATTTGTTTGATTGCATTTTCTATCTTAACAAGCCATCAGGTGGGCAGATCAAAGTGATCTTTAAGGGGTGTGTAACAGAAATTGAGAAAATATCAGTAAGGAATGAAAATTAATTTTGCCAGAATCTTGAATTTCTAACATTTCCACAATAAATCCCAACTGTCGATCATCTGCACGAGGTGTTATGTAAAGAGCTTTTAATGCATAGTGGAAACCAGTGAAAGGCTCTAAAGGGAGCGTCCAAATAGGCTTAGAGTAACAAAGCAACTGGAACAGCAAGAATTTCCAGCAAGGACTGGTTCTTTTGTACAAGTAACAACCGATCGCTGCAAATCTAAAAGGTATGCTAAACACTTACCGAAAACAAAACAGCACCTCAGAGAAGCATGGTGAGGGCAGCATTATGCTCTGGGGTTACTATTTTTAGCTGTAAATGGTTTTTTGTCAAGTAGATTAGTAGAGCCCCAAAATCGAATTAAACTAACTCTCGTATTTTATTTAAAAATATCAACCCTGAAATAAGACAGTTTTGTTGAAAGAACTGAATATGATCATTTTTAGAGCCCCCAGCTTATTACAAAACATAGCTGTGATGATACTTTTGTTCTTTTTTTTTTGTAAAACAGGGTTTTTAAACTTTTCTTTACCCTATGGAGTTGTTGGACTTTTTTTTATTTTTGGTTTGGTTCTATATTGTATTGATAACTATGGAAAATGTCATATTAAAACTGAAATAAGTCCTTGATTCTACCATTATTTTTCTTTACCTCATACCTGGCACTAACAGGGGTAAGTACACTCTCCAGATCTCTCCAGAGTTGTTCTTTGAAGCACCACTTCAAAAAATGTTTAATAAGAAAGAACAATAAAAAAAAGACATAACTCATGAATCACTGCAAAACCTCAGATAGATGAATAACCATATTTTGTTACAGGTCATTTCACTAAACACTTTTTTTGTCTAAAGGAAAGGAAAAAAAAAAACAATTGAGAAAGAAAGTAATAAAGTTCAAAGCTGCTAAGCACTGTGGTGTTTTTAGACAAATTGACCTGAAGTATTTAGTACTTCCACCTGTAAACACTAGTAATAAAGCAGACATCTTGCTTTATTATGCAACATCCTGAAATGTGTGGGCCTAATATCCCATTTGAACCTACTAAAATGTCTCCTTTAAATTGTTTTTCCAATGATCTAATTGAGTGCTGACTTTTTGCCCAGGACATCCAGTCCTTAAACACAACATCATTCATAGTTATCAGGCATATAAGAACCCTTTGGAGCAGATGGGTTTGTTGCTATGACTCAGATGCAGAAATACACCTAGAGCAATCATCACTTTAGCTGCTACATACAGCTATTTCTAATCAGAAATGAAAGGTCCATTTCTATGCATCAGCTTGAAATAAATAAAGCTGTGTTTACATTAAGACCACAAACTTGTGGGGTTAGGAATGTCTGCTGTAATACTGTATCCCTATAAAAAGGTTTTGACAACAGAATTTAAATGTGAGTATTTTATCTGCCTGCCAGCTTATTACAAAACATAACTGCGACAACACTGGGCGAGCCCTTTGTTTAGCTGCTTTTGCTTTGTGTCTGTTCCTCCAGCTTGTTTTTGATCTTTGCAGGATTCGGCTTGTAACCTTGTGGGCCAGTGTAAATAAGGCAGTTTGTCCCACTTTAACAGCTGATTATGTTGACATATCAACTATTCCAAAGGAATTTTAGATCTGCTCTCATCTAGCAACCACTACCTTATGCAGCAACACTGCCAACTATGCATGAAGCCAAACCTCACAGCATGTCTCCCTCTGCACCACCCTCAGCTTCTTTTTCCATCTTGCCATCGGTTTTCAGTGTGTTTTCCTGTTTCAGACAGCTCGGCTGCTTACTGCCAACACAGCACCTGGCTGCTTACTTTACCTTCCTGGAGCTGCTACCTTCCTTTCCACATGCCACTCAGGATAAGCTTCTAAACTACTGCTGAAATCTCCAAACTGTCAGCTCTTAAAGCCACACAAATAAATATTTTTACCGTAGCTATATCTCCTACAAAGCAAGTATAAACATACAGTATACGCACTCTATGACATCTGTATTTGACATGTATCATACATACTATATACATACATGGAGGGGGGGTATATTTATTATAGTGAAATGCCATTGCTATCAATTAATCTGTGGCTTTTAATGATATCCTGTTATTCACCTATTACTTCTCTCTATTATAATTAGACAAAGGCTCGATTGCTAAGGAGTCAGTTTGTCTCCTTGAGCATTTTTTAACTCTTTGTAGCTCATTAAAAATGAATCAACTACGGCTCATGTGTCACCAATTATCCAAAAATGAAACCCTTTAAACATGGATGGTAAATTTATATATATATAAAAAAAAAGACATAATACTTAAAGCATGTGGTTCTGTCCCCTTTTTGGTTTGAATTAACGTTTTCACGCCCAATACCCCCAGATGCATTTTGACAATTAACCAAAGAAAAGTCAACTGCACTAAATTGCACATGGCTGTAACATAAATCATAATCTCGTTTTAATTAGAGGTTTCCTTTTTGGCTTAAAACCCACAAAATAGAACTAGAATGGAATTATGATCCAAAATATTGAAAGAAATCAATCAATCAATC